GTAAGCTTGGATTTTTGTTACCATTTGCATTTGAGTCACATTTTGGCCAAATGGTCTATATTTGCAGCATAATGATGGGAAAATACTAATTTTTTGTGGGGGGTTGGGGGTAAACTCTTGGCAAACAATGCAAAGATTTAAGAGCTACTCCCTACTTCTGAATCTGCGTTTCCCCCAAATTTTGAGATTTACATCTGACAGACTACATGAACAAAAGACATAAGTTTCGAAAGAACGAGTTTTGTTAAAAAAAATGTCAATCAGTAAACTTGAAATGTCAAGGTCAAACAAATTTCAGATGTTTTCAGCATATTTGATGATTATTTCATGTCTCAAGTGGAAATTTATTGCAAGTTAATGGGAGCAAATTCCTTAAGGTATAATTTCTATTAGGTTTTCCTTTAGCTTTTTTATTTTTGTTTTGAAATAAAATCAGTTTGTTAAAGATTTAACAACTTGAAACTGAGGGTTTTCAAACCTCAATCTAGTCATTCCCCTTCTTCCTCCAAAAGGGGCAAAAAAAGCAACCCAAAGCCTCAACTGAAAGCAAGTGAAAAAAATCAAGCAAAAGGAAGCTAATAGTTACTAAAGACAACTTTTTTTAAATTAGATATTATATAAGAATTACTGTTAAAGCTTTTATTTTTTTTAATGTTATCATTATGTATTTACACATAATTAGTTTAAAATGATTTATCTAACTGATTCCTTTTGTTACCTGGCTAGCAGGGAAAAGGGGTCGAGGCCGGTCCTGACCTGTTACAATGAAGACTGACTTGCTATGTGGGATTACACCAGAAGCTTGCAGTGGAGTAATGGTAAGGAAATCAAGCAACCTTAAATATCTCGGCTGTATAGGAGCATATTCTATTGCAGAAGACCTTCCTGTGAAGATCATGGAATCAAATACGGGACATTGAACTAATACTTGGACTTTGATATGAATTTCTTTAACAATTTTCTCTGCAGTGCAAGTTATTAAACTAAAGCTACTCTATTTTCCAAATGTGTTCCAACAGAAATCCTTCATAACTTCTAGCATGGTATCTTAATAAAGAATAAAGTTCTTCTCTTTAAAAAATCTGCTCTAAGTAGATTTTTCCCCTGTTTTTTTAAATTAAGGATCCCAGCAGTGGTATTCTGAAATATTCTCTTGAATTTGTGCATTTAAATTTTATTGCAGTGGTATAGATGAATGCCACTGTTGGTATCCTTAAATTTTATTTCTGCTCACCAAGGTTAATCATGATTGTCTATATCTTTTTTATAGTAATCACTTTTGAATTGTGTTCAGATATGCAGTTTCAGGTGTAATCATCAGAGCTGGTTAGTCAGGCATTCCAGATAGTGGTTCTTTTCAGAACCTTTTTTAAAGGGTTGGTTAACTACCTCAGTAGCAGAGGATTGAACTATACCCTGTCTGTACTGTACATAGAAAATCTTTGTAGATAAAAGCAAGGCTTGTTAAATATGATATGAGGGTAAGATTTTAATATACCAAATGTAACATTCTTAGTTGCCTTTAGTTTCAGAGGCTTGTAAGACTTCCTCATGACCATCATAACAGGCCTTGCTTTTGTCGTATTTTGTGGCTGAAAAAGCAGCCTTGCTTCTTCAGATATTGTAGTTATTTGGATGTATAATAGTTTAGCAAGATGTTACTTTTGTAAGACATCAGATGTTCAAAAAAGTGCATCCGAACTTGTACTAAATACTGCAGTGTCCCTTTATAAAAAGTCAGACTAAAACTGACAATTGTACAGCAAAGCCTGACATTTGGATATTTTGAAGTTTTTTCATAAATCATAGAAACTAGTATATGGCTGTAGTTTAGCTTTTTAGGTAAAAGGTATGTTTCATTAGTGCATTTCTTACTGCTGATCACTGTAAAGATGTGAATCAGCTTTCCATTTCTTACGCAGGTCATGATAACTTGTAGAGTAGAGTACAATCATTTGTGCTATGTTTTTAATTTTCTAAAGCACCTTGATGACAGTGAGTGTTCAGTGGTGAAGCATCCTCTATTGAATCACCCTCAAAAAAAATTTTTGCCAAGTCCTAAGTCGATAGCTTAAAGTCAAAAGTAAAATTATAGTTTAATTAGGACTTGGTGTAAAGAAGTCCCTCTCCCCTTCCCCAAAGGGATACTGCAGTTATATCACATACCCAATAGGCACCACGATGAAGATCAGAGCTTATACTTATTAAGGTTTTATACACACCAGTTCCCCAGTAAATGCAAATTTAACAAAATTAGACATGTCATATGTTCAAAATGCTCATGGCAAACAATCATTTTGCATTCCTGCAAATAAAATTGTTTTATACTGTAAGCTGGAGGCGAGTGTAACTTATTTTTGTAATAAAGTTTTTATTTTTTTTATGTGTCATTAATATAAATGTGTGTTAGTATAGAAACTTCTGGTTTAAAAACTTAGAATTGCACACATTTCAGTATGTTTATTTGTACTTACATAATTTTAGAATAGTGGTTGCCAATAGCCTGTACGTTTCACATTGTGGTTTTTTTTTGGTTTGTTTTTTCTTTTTCTTTTTTTTTTTTTTTTGTTACCTTAATAAACCATTTTAGTATGTTGTATGTCAGTTACTGGGATAGCTGGGACATAGAGTGTAATTTAAAATTTGTCAATAAGTATTCATTGGAATATATGTAAATGTGCCTTGCCGGTTATTGAAACTTACCTACAAATGAGTATGGGGTGACACAAATTTGTTCCTGGTGCTTAATGAAACTTTCTGCCACTGATTTTATATATTACCCCGTGCTTTTTTAAAGTACATCTCAAATCTTAGTGTAAGTTTGAGGGCTACACAAAACATTTACATTTCATTCTAACATAATGAACATAATAGGGTGTGGAAAGTGAGTAAACTAAATGTAGCCTTCAGTAAAATTGAATCTCAGTGTAATCCTTGGTGCTGGCATTTCCCAGGTCCAAGGAGTTAAATAATCCCATCTAAAGAGGTCATTGCCATGCCTATTGGCACTTAACTGTCATACCATTTTTAAGGGACACTGTCAAGGTTCTTAAGTTAATTCTCAGAATTGTATGTTGGGGTGTTAGGACAGGTTTGTTTGACTTAATGAAAGAACTGTATTGTCAGAAGTTGAAAGATGAACACTTTTGTGAGTTCACAAATGTGTTCCTCAACAAAACAGTAAGGAGCTCTGAGTTTCCAAGATTATTTGCCATTCTTAGTTTAGGGACTTGGGAGGGAAAATGAATCTAAAGAAATTGTGAAGAATTGATGGTTATACTTAAAGGGTAATGTAAACAGTGGTGATGAAATGTATACATGCAAGTGAAATTACTTGACAGTGTTCATTTGAATAACTTTGAATTCAAGCCATTATAATTACTTTTGAAATTAAATATCATTTGCACTGTTCTGATAATGGGTGCAGTTTTTGAGCAATATATTCAGAGCTAAATATGCATGTAGTGATTAGTGATGTGAACAATTAAGTTCTGAGAAGAAACACTAACTGGTATTTTCAAACTTAAATTTCTGTAGTAAAATCAGTATCAAACTCTTACAGAGATCAAGGAAAACAGGCAATGCATATAAACATAATTTTGAATGTTGTGTGGCCTATTAAGCAATAATGCAATTTATATGGAATGTCATGGCATATGAGAAATGGAAATGCAAAAATAACTAATTCTTTAGTAAAAATGTCAACATGTTAAAAGGGGGAATGTTAACTAATGTAGGTTATTGCTATTTGTTATTTGTTTATGGGTTCTTGGCTTTGACAGCTTCAAAGAATGGACAGATGACAAGTTAAAGAAATTTTGTATATATTGTCAAGGAAAGGGTCTTAAATCTAATAGCCAAGTCCCTTCCTTGGGGTGAAAAGTAATATCTTTTAAAGTATTCTAATTGTTAAAAAGAAAAGTTACCTAAAAAAACAGACGCAAGATTTTGTTTCTGCAGACTACTTGGCAATCAAAAGTGATCATAAATTTAGTTCTATCAGTTTTCAGAAAGTTGCTTTGTGAGAAAATTGAGTTAATTTTGTATTCTCTCAAGCATGATTTTTTGTGGAAGATTTTTGCCATTGCAGCTGAATCCCATGTTAAAAATGAAGGGAGAATTGAGCACAAGAGGAGTTTGTACACTCATGATGGCAGTTGTTGTAACATCATGAGAGACATCTTAACCAATTACTGCAAATCTGACTTAACAGAGCAAACATTTCTCTCAAAATAGGAATGCCAAGTGGATTGATGTTGTGATCTGGGTTTTTTTAGTTGTCTGTAAGATATTTGAAAACTTAGAATATTACAATGAACACTAAACAAAATTTAAACAAAAAAATGGGCAAAATTGACAAGTTCAGTACAGCTTTTTTGACTTCCAAGCCAAAATCATTGTTGAATCAGAAACAGCAAAACATTACCATATTACAGAATATGGCATGTAGTCTGTATTTTGTGGGGAGAAGTAAAATATGACTTCATGCATTAGGAGAGGGAATTAATCCTAGAGTGAACGATTTGCTCAGGTTCCTAAAACTTCCATGAATACTCAGTCATGACTGTTTTCTCCCCATTTATGTATACCATAAATTTTTTTTAACTATAGGAATTCAGTGGTGTGTTTAAGAAAGGTTAATGAATAAATAAGTAACAATACTTCTAAGAAACAAACTTGTGGGAATGGTCTTTAGTATTTACTCAGCAATCATACCACTCAATAGGGCATGCCACTACTTAAGATGCTACTTGTGAACCAGTGCTCACATTTTTTAACTGGGCAAATGAGTAGATGGACTTTTGAGGTCTGTCACTTTTTAAAAGTTCGTAAGACATAAACCACAATCTGCCTTCAGTAATACACCTAGAATATTTTTCAGGACCAGAAGCATTCGGTTGGAAAAACAACCTTTTTTGCAAATGCAAATCAGTATTACTACTAACACTCTGGGTCAAGATTAGGTTTTTAATATTAACAGTAGTCTGGTAAACATTTAGAAGTCTGGCATTGAGAAACAAAAGCTTGTACCTGACTAGTATTTTAATTAAAAAAAAAAAGTCCTGTTTATTTAAAATTCTTTTACATTTATTTATCCGTAGAATTTATATTTATTTCATTCCTTTCATCTCACTGAAAACTGTCTGCAGGTTCTTTGATTTGGATTAGATATGTGAAGTACTGTCTTTCGCCAAAAACCTCAAATTACCTGTTTTTTTTTTTTTTTTTTTTCTTTTCAACGTAGTGGGTTTGTGCTTGTTTGGAGATCAGTTCAAAAATTATCTGTACTATCTGTACTGCCTCTGATGTTAAGATTTTATGTATAGCATAAGGAAGCTAGCTCTGACTATATTTTCCTAAGAATAAAGACCTATTTTTGTAGCATGTCTTAGGATCTCCAGGAGTCCAAGAATTATTGTGAGTGTCCTCCATTTCATCATTTTTCACTTAACAGCGTTTAAATAGATAACTTGAAATATTTAGAGTTCTATCGCGTTTTCATCATGCATACATTCAAAAGTATCTAGTGATGGTAAAAACAAATTCCCTAAGACTATAAGCACACGACTGGGAAATGAATAGAATAAATTACTGGGCTGGTCTTTACTTGAGATTTTGATTTTTGGAAATACTCTGGTCACACATGTCCTTGATTCCATGAACTTAATTTAATCTTACTTCTGGGAACATGATTCACTGCAGTATTCTTCCATTCTTCTGGTCTCTATTTCTGGCAAATAAAATGTCTTTGAAGATTTGGAAATGAGATTGAAGTTGCAAGTAACTCAGGAGAAGGGAAGAAACACATGATACATTTTATTAAAAATGTGCATTTAGCTAACTGAATGAGGTGAGGAAGAACTCTGCTTGAGTGTTTTGAGCTAGCTAAATGGACAAATGGTGGGGACTTATAAATACATTGGAGGATTTTGGCTCAAAGCAGTAGTATTTCTTGGAGGTGGTAGTTAGGTGGAAGGCTTATGTCACGTCAGGACACAACTTAAAATTTGTCATTGCAGAGTTTAGTTTCTACTTAGGATTTTGAAATTTGGATTGATTAGTGAATGTTTCATCATTTCAAACAGTCACGAAGTCCTAATGAAACATTTTGGAAATTAGTGTCCTAAATGTTAAAGCTTTCTACGTGATTTTTTAACACAAGCAAAAACTTTGATTAAAATAAGGTCATTGTAGGATAACTAAGCTTCATTAATTTTTTTAAACTGTTCCTAGTTTAAAGCAAATTCTAATCTGAGGAAAATTACAGTGGCTGTATCTGTAATGTTCATGAATTGTCGTTTCTTGCCTTTCTTTGGCTTTTAGCCATATTCTGAAAAAATGTATTGTGACTGAATTTCAACTTGGGAGATAATATAGGATACTGAAGGGCACTAATATCTGTCTCTGAACCCAGAGCCAGATTTTGCTTTTTCAGAGCAAAAAGTAAAAGGATTTGGTGTGGAGAAGAGATTATTACAGAGTGAAAAATAAAAAAGGCTGTGACAGTAATATGAAATTGGTAGAAAACTTTTATAGATTCTACTAGATAAAACCAAGTCTACAAGAATAGCATCCATGTCATACCAGAGTAATACCAACATTACGTCCTATGGCTGGCTCATTTAATGGTGTTAATTTTAAATGAGATGAAGTTTGAATAACCATGGGATTTATGTGACACAAGTACTGCATCATTTGAGTACAAAATTGTGGAAGCTAGGTACATGTAAATATATCAAGTCTTCACTTTTAGGAAAATACCAGTATTTGTATTGGTTGCTTTAATTTGAAGACTCAGGAATTAGACCTAAAATTGTTAGCATGTTTAGGGAGAATAAGCTTATATACAAGTTGTGTTTCTCATTTAACATTTGAATGTGCCTTGAAGGAAGCAATCTATAAAAATTGGGAAACTGTTTTTCTGTATTCTGTAAGTCATGCAAATGTAATACAGTGTAGTTTTGACAAATCTAGTTCATAACTCTTGAAATGGTAAAATTCCACAAACATTTGCAGAAATTTAAATTTTTGGGAATTCTTCATTAAAGCGCAATTCCATCAACCACTCTACCTGACTTCAAATATACATAGGGTTAAAAGACATGCCTTTTTATTCTAAGGTTACATAATTTAGTGGCCTTTTGTCCCCTTATTCTCCCCACATTTAGTATTTAGGAGAACCTCGAGAAGAGGGCACATGCCTGTAATCCTAGCTACTCAGAAGGCAGAAATCAGGAGGATTGTGGTGTGAAGCCATCCCATCCCAGGCAAATAGTTCACAAGGCCCTATCTAGAAAAATCCTTCACAAAAAGCAGGGCTGATGGAGTAGCTCAAGGTGAAGGCCCTGAGTTCAATTTCCAGTACCGCAAAAAAAAAAAAAAAGCAAGAGGATACTGTACTCAGTTTCTGTGGCTTAGTGCTTCCATTTTGTTCAGTCTGCTTATATTAACAAGTTTATGAGCGTTCTAGTCTCTACTGTCTTTTGTCTCCCTTTAAAT